TTTTTTTTTTTAAATAAATAAATTGTCATATCATCTCAGTTGCAGAGCATTCTTAATCTGTTGCGACAAACTGTATTATGCGATGTGTTTGGATAAATTTATGAGTATTGATGGTTAGGATAAATTTTTGCTTAAAACATGAGATTGTTGTTTGGCTTAGTGGGTCCGTAGAGGCAGACAGTTACAGTTCATGGGCTTAGTAGATTTGAGTTTGATTTTTTAGACTTAAATGCCTGGAGTTCAGAGCCCTCATTTGCCATTATTTGTGTATGCTGTTTTGGTTTTAGCGGCCTAGAGGTTAGTAGAGGCTGGCAGTTTGTGTGGTGTGTCAATCTGACTTTGACTTTTAGACTTTAATGGTTGGAGCTTGTTCTCTTAAGAGCCATTGATTGAGTATGCTGTTTGGTTATGCGATTTATGTTGCAAGGTTGTGTCCTAACGATTTGTTTTAATTCCATTTGATAGGATTTGTTATCCGCTTTGGCTGCTTACATTTGACACTGTGGTCTATATCTATAACCCAATTAACCTATCCAGCATACACTTTCTTCCTTGGATTATCTTTACATCATCTTTGGGTTTAAAATTGTCTGATGTTGTATTTTGCATCTATGCGATTTGTGGTCTTTCTTGGAAAGACATGCTCGGATGCTATTGTTTGTTAGGATGCACCAACAGTCATTCTAAGTTCACTTGTATCAGTTTCATGTGCACCATTTTTGGATCAAGAATTTTTTAGCTCTTGAAATTTTTTCAAATAAAATATTTTCTAATATTTTGTGCGCAACTAATTTTCTGTTTTGACTTTTGGCCATGCGTAACAACACCTTCCATCTATGATTCAAATCATTTGTATGCCAACTTGACCATCTTTTTGTGTCCTGCAGGATTTTATCCATTGTTATAAATGGAAGATCAGTATCGCTACCCGACCATCGCCCAGAAGGTAGCCAGCCAGCTAAGTCTTGGCTCCAGTCTCTCTCAGGATGCACAGGCCCGCTACGGGGGCTTCCAGAGGCCTGCTGCCTACCAGCGAAAATTTTCTTATGGAAACTACACAAACCCTGGATTGCAGTATTCTTTCACCTGCAGAGCCACCCAGGATCTCTCCTTGATTTCCGCCAATGCATCACCGGTGTTTGTTCAGGCTCCCCAAGAAAAGGGTTTAGCCAGCTTTGCAATTGACTTTCTCATGGGAGGTGTTTCTGCTGCCGTGTCAAAAACGGCTGCAGCCCCCATTGAGCGTGTGAAGCTTCTGATCCAAAACCAAGATGAGATGATCAAGGCTGGCAGACTCTCTGAGCCATACAAGGGCATTGGAGACTGTTTCAAGAGAACGGTTCAGGATGAAGGATTTGGCTCCTTGTGGAGAGGAAACACCGCTAATGTCATCCGTTACTTTCCCACTCAGGTTACACACATACCCTTTCCTGGATGCTTAGACATTTGACCTCAGTAAACTTCCTTTATGCTTTTCTAATCATTTACTGCTTGTTTTTCAACAGGCCTTGAACTTTGCTTTCAAGGACTACTTCAAGAGGCTCTTCAACTTCAAGAAGGACCGTGATGGTTACTGGAAATGGTTTGCTGGGAACCTTGCATCTGGTGGTGCTGCTGGTGCTTCCTCATTGCTGTTCGTCTACTCCTTGGACTATGCCCGTACTCGTCTGGCCAACGATGCCAAGGCTGCTAAAAAGGGTGGCGAGAGGCAGTTCAATGGTTTGGTTGATGTCTATAGAAAGACCTTGAAATCCGATGGTATTGCTGGGCTTTACCGTGGGTTCAACATCTCATGTGTTGGAATCATTGTGTACCGTGGTCTGTACTTCGGGATGTACGATTCTTTGAAGCCGGTGCTCCTGACTGGAGGATTGCAGGTCACTACATTCCTTTTTATATGCTTGGTCGTCGATTTATGATTTTCATATTCATTTATGCGACATATGCTAATGGATGTTTAATTTCGTTTGAATATAACCCAAAATTTTGCTTAACGAAAAACAAATGAATTTGTGACAATTCCTTTTTTAGGTACTTGAATATTGCCTTACTGTTCGGGTCCATTTATGGTTCTTATGTGGTGTCTCATGTTTTTTTTCTGAAGGAGTCTTTTCTTGTAAGTAGTTACAACTATTACCACTCAGGTACAAGGTACCCAATTTGCCCTTGAGGCACTACAATCATCCCCATGAGGTCTGCTTTAACAAGTATCCCCCTATTAATGGTGAAATTTAGGAAATAGAAAATATTAAGATACTTCAGTTTTTGAACATATTTAGTTTCTAATGAAATACACCCTCTTGAGTATATCATGCGATAAACTGTAATTTTATTGGAGTTTTTCTTACTATATGTATGCATAGAGAACTATCAAATTTTTCCTATGTGCAGTTATTGAGTTAGAAGATATTGAGATGATATATGTAGTTCAGTAACTGTCTTGGTATATAGAGAGAGTAGTTCTGAAGTGTTGTATTTGTTGTTATTATCTTGACCTCTTATTTTTTTCTTCAATTCTACATTAATTATCTGCACAGTTCATTTTATGTTTCTGTCGATTTTCATATTGTTATAATTTCTTCAGAATCTATATATTGACCAAAAGATTTGGCCGTTTGTAACTATTGCAGGATAGTTTCTTTGCCAGCTTTGCCCTCGGTTGGCTCATCACTAATGGTGCTGGTCTAGCCTCCTACCCTATCGACACCGTTCGAAGAAGAATGATGATGACGTCAGGCGAGGCCGTCAAGTACAAGAGCTCTCTAGACGCATTTGCTCAGATCCTGAAGAACGAGGGTGCCAAGTCCTTGTTCAAGGGTGCTGGTGCCAACATCCTCCGTGCTGTGGCTGGTGCTGGTGTGTTGGCCGGTTACGACAAGCTTCAGGTGATTGTGTTCGGAAAGAAATACGGCTCTGGCGGGGCTTAAGTGTAAGGCTCCCGAGATTTTTAAATTTAGAAAAAAAAAAAACAGATGGCGATGAAAATCATATGTTCTTTAGTTTGAGAATTCATTTCAAGGGAAAGTTTGCTGCTTTCGAAATAATTTGAAACTTAGATAGGGTTTTGGACCCGAATATTGTTCTTTCGCCTTTTGGTGTTTTACTTTTTCACTCTTCATGCTTCCTGGAAACTTGTCCCGGGTGAAATCAGTTTCATTTTTGACGAGGCATTTATTATAAATTTCCCTGTGGGTAATTTGATTTTTATGCCAGTCTTCTGGATTGTGATGGTTTTCGGCCAGTCGTGGTCATTCCTGATGCCAAGGGTGAAAATCTTCTGCTTTTGCTTTCTGATTTTATGCTA